AAGAAAAAGTATTGCGCATAAACGTAGAACTCAAACTAAAAACTGACTCAGCTTTACGGGTAACTTAAAGGAACCCTACAGTGTCAAGAACATAAAAATGTATTCCTGACACTGTAGTGTTAATCCCAGTATTTAGGTCCATAGTCCTCATGTCAGAGCAGTGAAAAGGTGTTTAAACTCAACTTTTTTTTACAGCACGCAGGTCTCGCTACTGCTGGTCCCACCTTGCTCTGCCTCTATGGCCGAGATAATCACATTATTTTATGATCTCAGCCAATCCAATGCTTTAAAAGGCAGATAGTGTAATATTGCAAACACAATTATATATTTAAAAAGAGGTATATTATAGCACTCACAAACGATGAGCAGGTATAGAGACTGCTCAGGCTATTTGCGCTTGTTCACTGTGTTACAGTGTACCCAGGATCTATTTCCTTGACAAATATAACGGACAGCCATGAATAAAGATAAACAACTTTATTCCACTTGATAAAAACAGCAGGCATTTAAATGGGGGTCCTTTTCATTACCGTCAATACAGTAAGCAGAATTAACATACGGTTCCCAGATACCGGTACTTCTGGCATCCGAAGTTCCCTTGCTTGTTCCGGGAGGCGGAGTCCACAATGTCCTGCGTCATCACAATCTTTACGTTTTGACACAGGACATTGTGGACTCCGCCTCCCGGAACAAGCAAGGAGACTTTGGATGCCAGAAGTACCGGTTTCTGGGAACCGTTTGTTAACCCTGCTTATTGTATTGATGGTGATGAAAAGGACCGACAAGAGTTTTTTTGTGCGCATAATCTTAAAGGCACAGCGCACTTTATATTTGTTTTTTTCTGTCTAATTAAGTGTTGTAGAGCTAATACACTAATAAAGTGCTGCTAATACAAACCGTTTTTTAAAAAGTTGTAAAATTAATTTATTTAGCACCATCCACGGCTTGTCCTATTGTTTTTTGGAATCCAGTGCTATGCCATAGGAAACCGTTGGGTGTCAATTGCACATGCACAGCAAAACACTGCACTGCGCCAATCAATGTACCTCTTTGGGGAACTTTCATTCTCTCCTGTCAGAACGTGAAGACACGCAATGTCAGTACTGCACACTGTGACATATTTGAGTCAGTTATAATGCACAGTTATTATTTGCCAAATTTAACTGATAGAATTAAAATAAAACTGTGAATGTGGAATCTGAAAAAGTTTGAGCACCCTATTAGTTAATCCACTCATGATTTCTTTGTAAGACCTCAAAACCTTAGTAGTCTAAATTGATTCTAAGTCTAGTGGTATCAGTTCCAGCATTTAATGGATTATCTGTCTCTTGGTATCTCTCAGGGTGTTTTCATCTACAAAGAGCTCATCTAAGAAACTGACTGAGGATCAGAAATGAAACACAATTCCCTTTTGTAAAACGGTAATTAAGAGGAACTGTTGAAGTTGAAGAAATATATCAGAGACCAAGAATAATCTCCAACAGAACATCTTGTAGACTGGTCAAAAACAAAATGCACACAATTTTGGTAGAATGGTCAACAGAAGGAAACCCTACCTGCAGTATGTGGCACAACCTATACAGGGTG